GAGGGCAACAATGGGTTACTGTGAAAATGTGCAGTTCATGGTACACAGGGAAGGAACTGGTAATGATCCCTGTGAGCCTGCCTTGGGAGTGCTATTTGATATTTCCATTTCAGGCTTGGCACAGGAGCAGGACTGTGGTAGCTGCTGCTGCCAGGGAAGGGAARGCAGTGCCACGCTGAAGTGAATCTGGAAAGAGGATATCCCAAGCACAGAGCAAGATGACCTTGAGAAGAGGGGTTACAGAAATAGTGCTCAGCAGCAATGAAACAAAGTGCTCAGGAACTTCAGCAAACTGCTGAGAAATCCCTGAAAAACCACAAATGGARAAAGAGCTGATTCCATTAAGACAAGAACAGCATTTCCACGGGCCACCAGTCTGACACAGGCAGGCAGAAGGAAGGCACTCTTGGAATATATAAAGGACTGTGTTTTCAGTAAGAGACCATGGTAAAAAGAAATGTGAAATCACCTGCAGGGCTCAGGGAAGTTGTATTTAGCTGTAATGCAGACACAGAACTTACTCAGGAATGGAGAGCATATCTTAAAAATTAGGCTGGAGCAGGTATGACTGCTTTCTTTGAATATGTCAAAGAAAAGTAAAAATAATGTTGATACAAGTACAAAAACAAGCACAAACTTATGTAAATTTTAAGCTCAAAACTCAGTAGTACTCAGGAGTTCAGGCAATTTTCAGATGTCTGGGGTGGTTATTTAGAGTGGGTATTCTGCTAAAAGGGTGCCATTCAAGTTAATAGCTGAATGTAAATATTTCATTCTGATTACCTGGGCTGAAGGATGTATGGCTAATGCACGCACAGCAGTGCCAAGCCTACACCGGAATAAAGAGTCCCTGATTCACAATAAATTCCATTTATAAAAATACAGTGAATATCTTCCAGCTAAGACAACACAAGGATGGTGTTTTAAGCGGCTGGGTATGTGCACAACACTCATACAAATTGATTTATATTTAGTGCAGAAAATACTTGGCCCTTCACAATCGTTCCAGAAGACTAGGATTATTATCCTCATCAGCAAGGTTTCTGCACTTGACCAGCCTCCTCCAAATAATCAATTGCCTTAGGAATCATATTCCTCCTTGTTAAAAGCACAGGCAGAACGAAAGCCAATATGGTTTTGGTTTTCCTCAGTAATTGGATCTTGCTAGAAAGTCCCCATGAATACCATTCTGAAGTCACTCAGCAAACTGGCTCGATGAGGAATGTTGACTYGGAAGTGAGCTAAGATCACTTTGCTGCTAAAACAGAAGGTCCTGCCCTTCTCTGYACAAAAGAAGGGTTTTATTTCAGCAGGAAGAGCAAGCTGATCTGACTGCACATGGCCTCAATGATTATTCAACATTAAAGAGGTGGTAGGAATGTGCCTTTCAGTGGTGGCAAAGTTCCAGGTCACCTTAGTGAACCCTGCATGCCTTAGAAAAGAAATCTTGCAATATCTTTGATACACTAACTACCTTTAGTAAATATTCTTGTAATCTAAGGTGAATAAACAAATATAAACTTTTATTTAAAAACTATTTTAAAGCCGATATTATGTAAAAGTAATTGAATTTTTCAGGATCGTCTCATTTAAGATGATTGCTTTTTTAAAAGAATTTCAGCCTTATTCTCTTACCTCAGGTAGCTGGGTGTGGGTGCATAAGGGTTCACAGAACTTGGAAAACATTTTGAAGTTTTTGGGTCTGTGATTCTGCCCTGTTTTGAAGCTAAACTCTTTTTTTTCCCAACACAGTACATCATTCACCACGAAGGTGGTACAGAAATAGTTGTTTTCAATTTCCTGCTATCCTGCATCATTCAGCACATTGGTTTATATTTCATTTCCATTTGTTATCCCACCATGGGGGGACAGTAACAGTTTTGTGAAAACTGTTCCTGAAAGTAGCACAAATGTGACAAAAGAAGATTGCAATACCATAAATAAGCTATAGGAAATCTGGTCTAGATTGCAAGACTTTGTCTTATTTCACCTCGTGCTATTTAATGAAAATCCTTTACGGATATTTGGTACAGCGTTGTCACAAGTCTGTCTATCCTGCTTTGAATATGCACAATGTAACTTTACCAAAATCAATATTTGTGACATGAAAACAGCTGCAATGAAACAAACCACACTGACACAGGAAAAAGGGCAGAGTGTGCTTTGTGCCCACAGAACGAAACCAGGCAGAGCCCTGGGGGGAGGGACAGAAGGTGGAAGGTGAGAGCTTTTTGCTTCGCGTGGAAAACCCCTAATTGTGTTAAAAAAGTTTTAAACCAAAAATCCAAGTATGTTCAAGTGCAGATGTGGCCATTATGGTGTCAGGAGTACYGTCACCATCCAGCTTTTCTTGGCAGTGCAGTCCTGCACTGACCTGGCAGGACAYGGTCACTCCACTGTGTGGAAATCATGGACATGAAAACACAGCTGGCATGAAGAGAGTTTGGAGCACAGCTCCAGAAGTCATTTGACAGAACTCACTAATGAGAATTTCCAATTAAAATAACTGATTAGGAATTAATTCAGCTCATTGATTCACATTTCTAGCTCACTCAGGATACAAATAACACTTCAGAGTGGCCTTCTCAGAAGGGTTTGATGTCAGCTKGGGTCAGGTTTGTTTCTAAAGCAGCCTTTTAATAGAGAGGAGGCTTTTTTGCAGAAAATGTCTGTGTGAGGATCTGGCTGATTGTGGATTAATGTCCATCATCAGAGAGCAGGGAAGCAGCTCCCAGATTTAATGAAGACTTCAGTGCTATTAGCCCAAGGGAATATTGATTAAACGAAAGCACCTTGGCTTGCAGAGCCTTATTTGCTCTGCCACACATGGCAGTCACGTGCAGCTGGCCTGAGAAACAGGAATCATTTGGAATTGTTTTACATAAGCCTRTTCTTCCCATCCCAGCCCTGCACAGTGGAGGTTGTTTGAAGGGCATCTGCACTGAAATTCGTTATATTAAAATTTTTAATACTGAATTTGCATTAGACTACTACAATCTCTGTTCATGGTAGTTATGTAAAGAAGCGCACAGTATTTCAAATTACAAAAGCCATTAACTTTTAGGAGCTAAGTGCCCATGCCATAGATTGAAATCCCAAGTATTTATTTGTTCAAGATAACATYGAGGAACAAGAAAAAAGTATCACATTGTATTTTCTTAACTTCTATATTATAACCAAAGACTAAGAATGTTCCTCTTTCCTRTCAAAATCCTCCCATTATTTTACCTCCTTTAGTCACCCAATCTTTACAAATAAAGCATTATTTCAAAGAAGATGGAGCAAACCTGCTGGCTGCCCTTTTGTGAGGAGGTCACAGAGCAACACACACAGGGAAGAAAGAACACTATAAACRTCTTCCATTCCTAGTCTCCAGATTTCCTCCTTAATTACTAGAAATACTCTTGGAAAGTTTTCCCTATTTGATATTTTTTCCCCCTAGCAACAGATTTTTTTTTACAGATACCAGCTCAAATTGGAAAACAGCATCACCTCCATTAATTTCTCCACCTTTAAAAATAAGTAGGCATAAAAAAATCTCATTAAGAGAAATGTATAAATTTCTGGAAGCATTATGTTGCAGCTCATTTTCAAATTACAATTAATGACTTTGTAATTAAGAATTTGAGGTTGTTTCTCTTACTTTTATTGGCTGCCTGGTGTCTAAACCCACCTGATGGGACCAGCAACAAGCATCTGTCCTATAATGGTGCTTGAAACATTAAATAACTATGACAACACTGGCCAATACAAACACACCATTACCATCTCTGCAAAAATTATTTAATCAAYAAAATACCTAAATCAAAATAATATGAAAAAACCCACAACCATTGCACCTATCTTAACACAAATTCCAAGCTCATTTGGGGGTACTTATTTTATCAGAAATAACTCCATCAAATGGAAACAGAACATTKCACCAATGTAAAGAGAACATAACTAGTTTTATACAATAAATMATTTTAACAGCAAGACCAGTTAGAAAATGTGGAAATAGTTCACAGGTATTGCATTTCTTTTAACAAAAATGCTCTTCAAAGCACTTGGGTAGGTGGGGAACCAGCACATCCCAAAAACCTGAAATGTGGCTCTGCTCTAGTGAGGGCTGTGAAGATGGRATCCTGCTACTGCAAACATTTCATTACAAGCTCCTCTAGACCAGGGTTTCTCCTTTTACAAAGAAAAGCTTTTATGCTTCTAAATGCCAACCTGCAAATTTACATTTAAATACAACAGCAAAAATGATTTTTTCCTACTCAATCAGTGTATTCAAAAATTACAGTTATGAAGGTCAAGTTAGTCCTGAATGGCACCTGCATAATGTGGTCACATCCAATTGGTTTGTCCATAATCCAGCCCTTGTTTCTAGCTTATTTCCTTATAATTAGTGGCATATCTGTCTCCCTAGTACCTTGTCTGTTGGGGTTTTCTCCATTCCAGACAGGGTGTAGATCCCTCACAGCCTTTTTAGAAAATCAATTCCTGCTGAAATGTCTCAATATAAAGACAGGAATCAGCTTTAAGAACGTTTCTCCCTCACAGTGAGGCTGCCTTGGCTCATGGATGCCTTGAAAGCCAATTCTGAACCTGGAACAAGAACCTCTGAGCAACTCCAGCTCACAGGGCAGAAGCCTTGCCATGGTGGCTTCAAAAGCTTTGTTTAAAGGAACAGGAGGAGAATGGCAAACCTGCAGCAGTTTTTTAACCTTCCTGTATATCCAGACTGACTCATAAGTAACTTACTGGAATAGAAATTTGTCTTATTTCTTTTTGTTTGGTCTGCTCTTTGTTCTGACTAGAGAAGAACCGAGCAAATGGAAACAAACACAGGATTATTGCCCTCTTTGCTAGGAGGCTTGGAATGAAGCCTAACAAACAGCAGCAGCTTTCCACACCCCGCAGTAAGAACCTGCTTTCCTTACTGTGAGGTAGAGTGAAAACACCCAAGAAAAGAGACTGAAACAAAAAATTAAAATAGAGAAGCTATCAAAGCTTACCTTGCCAGCCTGGCTTGCACACTGGTTTGACATTAACTCGCACCAAGACATCCTCTGTCGCGTGTTTCTGCCCACAGTCAAAGGCTGTCACCATGATCTCGTACTGGTGCTGTTTATCATAGCTCAGTTTCTCTGTGTTCCTGATGTTACCTAGACATTCAACACAAGAAAACAATCAGAGATTCTTTCTTGGCTCAGCATCCACACACTGCAACATCTGGGTCCTGGCTCATCCCATGCTTTGTGACTTTGAGCATATGGGACATGCACACGTAGGACAGTCTGAGGAACAGGAAGGATTTTCTTCCAGTCCAGCAGAGAAACAAAGAAGATTGTAGGCAAATATAAGATGGGAGGGATATTATGTGGGCATGGCAATATGAAGAAACACTTGCTCAACAAAATTTTGTGAAGTAAAATGGCAAAACTGATTAGCAGTTACATCCTGAACTGTGAGGAACGAGTAGGTGCACCCTCCTTTTCCACATTTGCCCCAATACATTGCTTTAACAGCCACAGTCCTGAGATCCACTGCTGAACCTGAGTATCCTCCTGTTCTCCCAAAAGCTATTACCCTTCAGATGAGAGATATTTTAAAATAGGGAGAGCCCMAGAATCACCTCTGCATTACAGTGCTTAGCAGGATTTGATAGGGCAGCACAGAGTTATCACATGGAAAATAAAACCCAGCAACAACGRGGTTTATCTGCTGAACCTGACACACACATAAAGGTGACAAATGATCTGCTCTGGGAACAAAGACACCTGAACCTTCAGAGGGAAAGGGGAAGATCTTTCTCTGAGCACTTCCTGCAGGATCAGGAGAGTACAATACAAATGCATGGGTTTGCTATTAGCAATTCAGCATTTTAATTCTGTCCATTTCCACTGAAATTTACTTTTTGCACAAGTTGAAACTTCAGCCTATTTAATCCATCTCACGCTTCTGCTCAGGGTTGTTTGTTTTGCCATCTCTTTGAATGAGAATTTTTGTCCTAGAATTCAAGAAATAAACTTACTCTGCAGCAATGCTACATGTAACAACTGCTTTCAAGCAAGGATCAGCAAAATCCAGTTGTTTGTGCTAAATTTGAAATGGGCAGCCCCCATGTGCTGGAATTTAGTCAAATGCATTCAACTGATCCCCACAGCTGCTGGCCAAAGTCTCTTTTGTTAGGCACAAAATATTAGGCTTTCTTTGGGCATTTGGGTTTCATTTTTTTTTCTTTTCACTTGAATGAGAGACAGGAGAAAGCAGACAAATGCAACTTCTTTGAGGAAGTCTTTCACTAAAGCTCCATCAGTTTGACAAGCAGGGCACTCTCTGCTGCACATCCCTTATCTTTGCAGAGCCCACAACTTTTCTTTCTACTACCACTACATTAAAGCCAACTTTAGGAATTCAATTGAAACGGATGCAAAGCTGTTCAGGTCAGGCCTGAAGAAAAGCTGCATTTTGCATTTGTCACCATCTTTAGGTTCAGAATGTGTAGCTTAAATAGCCCCTTGTATGTACAGTTACCAATCAGGCCCAAAATCCCAATTACTGTACGCTCTGAGTCTCTCTCTGTCCCTTTCTGAGCAGGGCACAGAGGAGCACAAGCCCTTCTGACATTTTTGTGTCTCAAAAGGAGAAACAGAAGGAGCTGCTGAGGGCTAATATGGGAACAGGACAGTGTCCTACAGCTCCTGGGGTTCTCATCTTGGCAGGCATTTGCAGCCCTGCCATGGACACAGCTCCTTCCTCCCCACTGCAGTAATACCACAACCACTCCATTGGGTTTGGAGTTAGCAATTGACAAAACAATCCAATCACCCATTTTACTATCTTGAGTTGCCTGATTAGTGGCTGCCTAAGAGGTTTTAATGAAACACTGCCACTCTATATACTTAATTACTGATTTTATATCTGCTCAGTTTTTTTTTTCCTTTCTGCATTATATTATTTCTTACATAAATCTTTATATTTCCCTATTTTGTTCTCCTTGCAACAAAGTTAATTCTCAAGAAACCAAAATCTTCCAAATCTTCATTAGCAGATTGCTAGAATTTATGTGGCACATTACCTGTCCCACAGGATTTATAAATCTTTATAACATATTTACTTTTCACTAAATTTATCTTCCAAGAGCTATATTTCATTATGGTTATTTCAGATTTGGACTACAAAGATTCTGACTCTTAGGTGYTTTTCCAGAAGGTCATTTGGATGACTTGCAGATGTTACCCAACACTTTATTGATTTCCTAATATTTTCTTTTCTTACCTCTGATGCTTTAGGATTCTTTGGGCTTTTATAATTTAATCAATACGATTAAAAAGTAGACACAGAAGGGAAGCACTATAAACATAGACTAATTAAAGTTTTAGAGATGATAGTCTGAAAGGTTCTATTTACATCTCACCCACAGACAAAAAAGTAATTAATAACATTTAAAAGAGCAATTTTTAATGAAGAAGTAAATACATTTCTACACAGTTCAAAATCAGGCCATAATTTTCTTTTCTTTTTCAGTCTTCCTAAATACTTGCCTTTTCCTGGAAATACCCASAGCTATGAAAAAATTTCAAAAAACAAAAACCAGATTGGTGACTACAGGAACATAGAAAGTCCTGCTTGAGGACACAGACATTTTCACCTCTGTTTCTCCAAGGTCAGGTTTAGGGATAGATGGATGTAGAMATCCCTCTTTTATGGCTCTTTCACCTCACTTTGGAGCAGTCACTTGAYTAATTTGGCACAGCAATTCCCTCTTAAATTCCACAGTTATTTCCTGCCTGCATAAGGAGTATAAAACTGTAACTCCCAACCCTCACAAGAGCTGAGGGGCAGAGTTCTGTGAGTGGTCTGACTCCAGGCTGCTCAAGGAGTGCCAGGGCAACATTCCAGCAGTTCTGTTTGACCATAAGTCCATTATGGGATAGAATTTCTTACTAAAAAGGTCCATCTAAAAATGGTAACGGAAAGAATCTGTCACTAATAAMTATATAAATACCAAGTGCAGATGCTCAGCTCTGAAGTTGAGCTTTACTTTTCTGACAACAGGAAGTTTGCAGGGCTCCTACTGCAGCTCTTGGTGCTRTAAAGGGGGATTTTGTGAGGTCCTGTCCTATCCAGGATGTGCAACCTGAGAAAACCTTTTCTGACTGGGCAGGTCAGTGTCTCACCTTCACTCTGCACAGTCTGAACATGTGTTTGTGAAGTGCTCCCAGAGGTGGCTGGCAAAGAAGAGTCACCCCCATTTTAGAGATGAGAGTAGATCAGAGTGGTGACAGAATTTGTACCTACCCCTGAGTTCTCTGATCATCTGACCATAATCCCTGACAAATAAAGGCATGAGATATGTGAACAGAAATGGGGTTTGCTGGCTTTATAATTTTCTGTCACCTGAAAAAGCCTACACAATACTGATACAGTGAGTGACTTGAAGATTGGGATTCTACTAAGGAGAAAACAAGACTGATCTGCATGCAWTAGTACTTTAAAACACATTATACCTTACACTTTCAATCACAGTTCTTCACATAGCAAAGCATAAATTTGTCCTCTGCCTTTACACTATGGCGTTTTATGACTGAGAGCTCATTGCCCTCCAAGCTGGGCTCATCACATACAAGAGTGGATTTTATTAGCGCTGCAGTTTCAGAACACAAAGGAACTTTATTCACAAGGAAATGACATACCACAGGCCAGGGTTCCCAAATGGAGCTGGGAGGTTTTATATTCCCTCCCCTAAGTTCCAAGGGTGGGAAGTGCCTGATGCTGCTTCCCGTGCCCACCATGTCCTGTCTCCCCTGGGTGGGGTTGAGGCAGCCTGTGCACCAACACAGCCTGCAGGGCTGCCTTTGCCTATAAATGTTCCCCAATGTACAATATAATTTTTCAAGACTAAAAAATGCTCCACGCACAGATCTAGGGACAAGAAATAAGTTTTACCTAACAGGACAAGGACCTGCCAAAAGAAAAAAGCTGATGGAACAACATGTTTCTCTTTCTACAAACCTGAGGGGTTATTTTCATATACTGGTGGTGAAAAAAATCCACCATGTGGGATAGACAATGGCTTGTTTTCCTCACAATTTCCCTGCACTTCCATCTTTTGGGGCCCCCTGCAATATTTAGATTTGATTGCAAGGTATCTGGTTGTGCTCTTTCTGAGCAATGAAGCTTCACATATTGGTGACTGGAAAGCATAAAAAAAATCCTAACCTGCARAAGACACAAGAACCTGGATTTGTATCTCACAATGGCAAAAAAGCCCCGCTAACAAAATCCTAATTAGCACAGCATTAACAGACATCTCATAGATCCATTTTAACCACCCTATGGGGAACAAAAACGGGCAAATTTCCAAAGAGTTTGCACCAGAGAAAGTTTATATCAGCTGCCACAGAGAGACWTTCTCAGCAGTGAAATGTGTTGGAACTAAGCAACACATTTCTGTCACAAAATAAAAGCGTAGCCATCTATTCTAACTTTGTCTCTAATCCCAGTGGGTTTAAGCAATTACCATTATCTTAAAAAATTGCAAATTAGACTGCAATTACTGTTGGTTGTGGCAGCACTGTTCTTTTGGTGAACAAATAGATCAAAAATATYAATTGAATTCATGACCAAGAAACTGCAAGTATTACAACCTTATACCAGTTATTCACTGCAGGCTTTAAAGTCATGTTTAAATCAATGATTTTCTCATTGCCTTTGCTGCAAAGCAGGTCCCAGGCACATGAGGACAGAGATGTAACCAAGGATTCCTGACATTTCCCATGCTTTTGATCACATCTCTGGCTGTAAAGGGACATGATCACTCCTGAGGCAGCTGTTCTGTGTGACAGGAGCAGAAAAGGCACAAGCAGTAGAAATGACTGCCCTGTATCACACCAATTTCAGGTATTATTCATCCCTGATATCCCTCACAAACCTGGCAGGAAACTATGAAACAACCTGGTACTTCTGGAAGTGCAAGTCACATGGAGCTTTGAAAAAAAAAAGGATTCAGAGACATGGAAAACTTGCTTTTATGACAGCATGGGAAATCTCAAAGTTGGGAAAAAATCCACAGAGAGGAAAAGCTTCTAGGGAATTGCACCCAAATATCTACTTCCAAATGCCCACTTGCTGTAAAAAATCCTTATAAAAATGTTCTGGATTCTCAAGAGTCCTCAGGATTACTGTGGCAGCTGCCCTCATTTCCCCAAACACAAACACTCCTGATGGGTACAGCTCCTGTACCRTACACTTGCTTCCCAGTGTGTGATAACGAGGTGGCTTTTCCCCCAATATCAGGACAATTTAYTGCTCTAACAGGTCATTGTCTTCTTGTGCTCATCTGCATTGGGCAAGAGCTGCACAAACACAGATGAAGGATTTTTGAACAGGATAAAGAGATTTTATAGAACATCCCAACACGAAAACGACTGGTCAGAGAAAACAGGASCTCCATGCACACTTTCATTCTTCCATTTCAATTTACAATTTGGCCAAAAATCAGATTTAACTTCCAAACTGTACTCTCCTGCAGTCAACATGGATTAAATGCTTCTGCTATGAGAGGTAAATCAGAGCACTGCTGGATTTGCACATGGGATGTTTCTTCTGGGGAAATTATTTTGTATTATCTGAAGCAAGCAGAAAATGGGAAGAAGGATCTTCCACACCCTTTTCACACAGTTAAGCCATTCCCAAACTCAGTTCCATGTTCTCTGCTGTTCCAGGAAGCTGGCACACAGGACCACCAAGGTCACAACCTGCTGCATGTGGAAAACTTCATATGGTTGAATGCTTTCCCTATAATATTGTATACCTTTGAAAAACAACTAAAACAAACGAATTAAAAAATTGTTCTTATTCTCCAAAGTACATTTTCTTCCACGCTACAAAATAATGGAACCACATCAGGAAGCACCACAAATGAGCAGGTCTGTGGACCCATGATCCTAAAAGTTTTAACAATCAATAAACATATGCAGAATATTGTCAATGGTATATTCAGGCTGTTCTTCAGGGCAATGGGAGTTGCTGTAACACAGTGAATAATCTCTGGATTAGGGGATAGATGTTCCCATCACTTGGATGGGAAACAAGGTCTGAGGCAAACAAGAGAGTGGACTGAGTGACCAAGAATCACAYGGTTCACCTCAATCTGGCTGTTTAACTGCCACAATAAATCCCCGCCTCACTTTCTGCCCAAGTCTGACAGAAAAGGGACGGAATTTGCCTATGTAAGGATTCGATCCCTCTCCGAGATGAGAGCAGCACTCCTTTCCAGCCCAGTAAGCAGCCATCCCATCCCATCCCATCCCATCCCATCCCATCCCATCCCATCCCATCCCATCCCATCCCATCCCATCCCATCCCATGAGCCCTGTGCCCTGCAGAGGCTCCAGCTGTGCAGCACTCACCGTTTCTGTCGATGGCAAAGGGCACATCGGGTGTGACAATCTCGTAGTTGCAGATCTGGCTGTACTGGGGGGAGCAGTCCTCGTCGATGGCCTCCACCTGCAGGATGCTGTCGTAGATCTTCCCCTCGGTCACTGTGGCCTTGTACACGCTCTCCTTGAACGCTGGGGAGAACTCATTGACATCCTTCACCTGGATATGGACTACTGCCCTAAAACAGGGACAAGAAACATCAAAGAGAAAAATTAATTTATTGGGACACCTCACTGACAGTTTCTTTTCAAAATACCTGAAAAGACTAACAAAACATATATAGAAAACTCTGTAAGCACCTACTAAAATGAGATATTACTGAATTTCTATGTTTAATTTGCTCAATTTGGTATTTTAACATGGCACCAGTTGAAAGTCTATTGCCATGGTTTGTAGGGAGGGGTTTTCACRGTGCTCCCTATTAAAATCTGCTTCTAAAAATGAACCCCAGCAGAAAGTCAATGATATCATTACAGGGCTAAATGAGCAAAGAGGGAAGAAGAAAATTACAGTAGTCTTACATATTCACAAACCAAAAATGGCCAGTTTATAAACATTCTTCCATATTAAATATGGCYCTCACCTTCTGCCGACTATAATTATCTAATCCTTTAATTATTTACAGCATGCACATGTAACCCGTCAAGGCCTTTGGTCTTTAGTGAGTAAACTCCAAAGGCCTTGCTTTGGAAGGATTTGCTTTCTGGTTTGATAGGCAGGGTAAAGAGGGACAGAGAAGGAGGTTCCAGATCAATGCACAGCCACAGCAAAGTTTGGGTGCCCAGGCAGCGCAGCTGAGCGTGTGCTGCTTTACAAAGCCTGGTGCCAGCGGGGCAGATTTCATTTAGTCAAGATTAGACAAAAATTTTCTACAAGTGGAATGTACCAGATTGTTACTGACATGAGAGGAGAAACACAATAAAATGTGATATTGTGAAAAAAAACCTTTTCTGTGATCTGATGGTTATCTGATACTGCAGGCTGCTTCCTCAATCTGTATTCTTTTAAAATATGCTGAAAAGTTCAGCACRCATTATAGACCTAATTAAATTTTTAATTGTCATGTGTCCTGGATGAGCAAAAGGAATGATGATTACTATAAATCATTTATTATAATAGCTCTCAGCAAAACGAACAATTTGTACAGCACTTACACATCTAYGTGAGTTAAATTCATCTTTAATGACAAATGGTCTGGAGCTCAGTTTCACCAACTGAAAGGGAAAAAAGGCACTGTTCCACCTGATTTATGCAGGGAATTGGCTCCACAGTAAAAGGAACCACCTACTGGCCTTCAATACACTCCTCTTCAGAGGGTTTGAGTTTCTCTGAGACTCACTGTCCAAAAGCTGAGGTCAGAGACACACGGTTGAAACATGACACTGCTCAGCTTATGAYACATGTACTAAAAAAAGGGGATGAGTCCTCTTTTCTTACCATTTGAAATGAGATGAGCTGAGAAAAAACCTATTTAAAATTTGTGAATATCAATTGAAAGGCAGCTTCCATGACCTGGTTGTATTTAACATAAAAGCAAGAATGTAAAATATAAACCCCAAAACTGAAACRCATTTATCTATTTGTACAGGGATCCTGACAAAAGCTTTAACTGAAGCAAACAAGAATATGTTTTCTAAAAGGAAAAAGGAATGAAAAAATGGGTGGAATATTGCAACAATGGCTTATCTTTATTTTATTTGCTTTCTACTTGACAATAATATAAAAAGGAACCCTTAAATAGACTATAGAGTGAATGTATGCCATAGCAAAGAAAAAAAAAAAATTCCCCTCATTTTCACCCACTTGTGAGATTTCTTCCAGTTGGTTCCAGCTGGTCCTGACCCACAGTCATAGGCCTGGATGATGAATGTGTATTCCTTCTGCAGCTCACAGTCAATGGGGCTCTTTGCTCGCAGCCGACCTTCTCCCGATGTCCTGTTCAGCACAACGGCCTCGAAGGGCATCTCCTGCCCGTGGATTTTAAAAGCACATATCTCACCTGCGAGGAACAGCACAAAACAATCAGCACTGGGGTCTGAGTCTTAGGCACAGGAGTGACATTGCAMAGTTCATTTGTGTTTCMCCTGCTSYTACTGGGGGAGCACAGACAGCASCAGCTCATTGTGCACCCAAAGGGCCCCGAGCAGGAGCTGGTGCAGCTCCAGGCACAGCCTYCCTCATCCTCTAAATGCTAAATGGGTTCTGAAAGCCCCAGACACCGTTCCATATGGTACCAACAGCTAATGACTTCTGAGCTAAATTACCAGACTGTATTTATTTAAAGAAAACAGCAAAAAGAAAAGTAAGTAATGCTTTAGAGATGGCCTTTTTTAAACTGCTGTCACTCCTCGTGGAGCCACTCAAGCTGCCAGGTGGTAGCAGATGTGCAGATTCTCGCAGTTTAGGTTCCCAACAGTGGCAAAACTAATGGTGCAGAACATGGGCACATTGAAAATAGATCCTGCTGTATTTACAGACACACATCATCTCGGGAACAAAAGCAGCTGAAGGAACACAGACAAGTGTCCCTTTTGGACATCTCAGTCACCCACCCACACTCACACTCTCATACATGAGTGCCTTCTTGGCAGCAGCTCGCTCTGCCTCCAGACTGTTTCCTGATATAATAGATCCATAGCTTCTCTCAGAGGAGTAYTATAGAACAAAACAGATGATATGGMAACGACTGAAAAAATTGATTTGGTCACAAAAGACAACATAAAGAATCTTGTGAGAATATGAGTCTGAGAAGGGAAAAAGGACCCAGCTTCTGGTGTTCCTTTTTTTATCCTTCATAGTGATAGCAAGGATAAGCACACTGAGTTCATTTTTAACCACTCCAGAATCCAACTTTAAAAATGAAATATTTATACAAAGACCAATGTGACTTAAATATTTTTATGACACATTAAACACATGCTCTTTTATGAGCAAGTCAGTCTCAGGACATGCATTATAGATTCAAAGCTGTCTCCCACTCACATAATCCTTTTCCATTTATTTCCAATTTACAGTTGCAGCCTTTTGGAAATCTCCTTGCCAATCATATCTGAGCCAAGTGCCAAATTCTAAATTAACTCTGAATCCATGACCTCTAATTCAGGCCTGGCTCCTCTTTCTCTTTCTCTATTATAATATACTGTTTATTTTTGCAAAAGAGAGCAKACAGGAACTTTATAAAGKGCAGGAGTTCATAATTCCWGTTATGTGTGAAAAATGAAAAATGKCAAGGGTGTGTGTGCAGGGAGGGTGGGGATCAGGTACACTGAGAGTAGAAATATGGGATTTTTAGGCTATTCCCTCAACTATCATCACACAGGTTTCCCTCTACGATGACAGGAGCTGAAGCTTTGCTCAGCTACATGCACTGACATTCAGGCAGATGAACCCCACCCTCAGTGATTGCAATCAATCCTATGAAAACCTTTACAGGATCAGCACACTTTTTTTTTTTTTTTTTAGTGATTATGAGGCACTGAAAACGTACATTAACATTTGCTTGGACATTTTCCTGCTCCACCACTCCCTCCAGGGCTGGCAAAGGGCCGTGGAGTTTCCCAGGACAAAGCTGAGCTCTTTTCCAAACTCTCTGGGGTTCACCCTCAATGGGCTCAAATATTTGGGSTACAGAAGAAGGAATGGATTTCACCCTGAGAATCAGATTCTGAGAAGGACAAACACTTTGCACAGCCCTAAAAGCAGGCTGCACAATGATCTGTGCACAGGGACCAAAGCATGAGCTGGAGAGAAGGCTGAAGTGGAGCAGCTTGTTCAGCTTTATTCATGGGCACTGATCACTCAGTTTGTATTCCACTGTTGTCACATGCAACCTTTGAAAAAAAAATTRTTTTAATTTCCTTGTAACTTCAAAACAAAACATTCATCTAAAGGGATATTGTGGTTTTCAGTTTTATTTTAATTGAATATAAAAAAAAATCCCAGTGTAAATGTGAGTCTAATGGAAAATACTGTTTGTTGTGCTCTGTAAGACTGGCCTTCACAGTTCCTTAATAAAGTTTTCCTCAGATGTACAATCCATCAACAGAAATCCYAACTTCAGTGGTTTGTGTTTATTATTTTATTGATCCACTGTTGATTGCAAACAATACAGCATTTGCAGACGTCCAAACTACGATTCTTAAAAAAACGAAATAGCTCCGGGCACAAAAAAGTTCTCTCAGCCCTAATCTAAATATTTATCATTTTTTCCTCTCCAAAGGCAGAGTCCTAATGCAAAGCAATCATAGAAGCAGCACATGTTCCAATCAGTTCTCATCAAATATTTTAAAAGTCTCTATATCCCGCTCCTATGCGAGATACTCCAGCTTTCTAYATAACTCTAATTTTGTCTCCATATTCCCATGTGCCAAAGATAAAATAACGACAGCTGCCTGGGTATGGTGAGATATTTGTAAACACACCGCAAAAAACCCACATACACTTCCAGAACGTGGCTACAGCAACCTACTTATATGAAAACAACTGCAAATATTTTCAAAAAGTGGGTAAGATTTTTTTTCAAAAGAAGGGCTCTACTGCTGTTTCCAAAGAAATGAGCKATCACTGCCAAATAATTAAAATGTACAGGATCATAATGTTTTTAAGAAGGTTTTTTAATGGCTGTATTGCAACTGGAAATGATAACAGAGTTGTAAGAAAGCAGAAAATCAAGTGAGGTCCCCTGGAGGACACACACTGACAGATCTATAGAACTGCTACTATTAACCATTACAAACAGTGTCTTTAACGTGCAACAAATATTATTTCTCATTATTAAATGGAGCTACAGGACTTTATTTCAACCCAGCTGAGCTAACCCCAGACCCCCAGGACACCAACAGGAATTGTGCCAAGCTTATCTCATTTATTGGGGTCTTAGGTAAGGATGGGTTTGTGGCTCCCTGGAGGAAGAGRAGGCAGGGTGGTTTCTCTCCTATTCACCACCACTGCAGTTTCAGGGCTTTCCTCCCTTCTCTTCTGAAAGGCTGAAATAATGAGAGTGCAAAGTGGGACATTGTTTTTCTCCCAACAGACAACACCGCAAAACACAGYGCTTTGCTCTTCATTTCATTTGAATGGGCTTGGGAACAGGTGGATATAGGATTTTGTCATCACACAAATGGTGGTAGCACCGAAGTGCTGACAAAAAAAAGATAAATTGTGATACCATGAAAAGGTAGAAGCACCTTCATGAAATCCTATAACCATTTTCAGGGCAAAGGGAAAGATCTCTTCTCCCAGGCCAGGATGCACATTCTGAGGGCTTCCAGCCACTTCCTAAAAAACCTTCTGGTCACAGGGTTCAACTCTGCTGAGAGTTTCACTTTAATACATGTTTTAACTAAACTCTGAATGTGTTTTTTCCTCATATCCTTCAGACTACCATTAGCCACAAGTGCCTATTAATTTTGAAGTTTACATTCTTCTAAGTTTGAAAGCCCTGGTAGAGGTCCATATGTTACTACTGCAGGGATAATTATTATATAATTTCCTCTGCAAAAATTACAATAGCCTGCAAAAGAGCTACTRATGGCTCATAATTTCTGAACCATAACCAACAAATTTATCCACTGTTTGGAAATTGATAAAGACAATGTTTCATATTCAGTCACATTTACATGCAAGATTTAGTGATTATAAGCCTTAATCAATAAAACTGTGTAACAAATTACTGCCTTTTACATGAAACACCAAATTCACGCTTCTTTCAGTAGAAATAATAACACCCAATGTTACTCGTTTAATAACTACACAGCCTCATTCGCTTGAAATCAATTTCAGAACGTATTAAAAACCACAGCATGCTTATTTGGCCTTTCACAGCTCTCTTTACTACTTCCTCAGCCTTCACTACACCAACAACACTGAAGACTTCACATGGGAGGCTGGGATCTCTGACATTTCATCACTGGCATCCAGAGATTAAAAAGGTAGCTGCTGTTTGTGGATGAGGAATCACCAAAGGAAGGTCAACAAGGCCAGGCAGGGCTCCAGGCTGGGCACAGTGCTGGCAAAGGGGCCAGTGGAACAGGACCAACAGWGGCTGAACGTGAGCCTGGAGTGCCCAGGGGGACCAAAAGGACCAGGACAGTGCCTGAACCCCCTGACTGGGCACTGTGAGCCACAGCTCAAATGCTGTGCCCAGCTCAGAGCCCCTCTGGACCTGACAGACACTGAGGAGCGAGCCCAGGGAAGGAGCAGAGCTGGGGAAGGSTCTGGAGCAGAGATTKAGGGAGCTGGGGAGARGGAGGSTCAGGRAGGACCTTTGGCTCTCACAGCTCCCTGACAGGAGCTGTATTGGGATGGGATCCCCTCCCCAAGGTAACGAGTGATAGGACAAACAAACAGCCTCAACTTGCACCAGGGCAGGTTTGCATTGGGTGTCAAAAAAAATCCTTCCACCAGAAGAATGGCACAGCTGCCCGGGGCAGCACGGACTCTCCAACCCTGGAGGATTCAAAAGCCATGTGGCACTCATGAACAGGGTTAGTGATGGATGTGGTRGTGCTGGGTTAATGGCTGRGCTCAATGATTTTARMAGTCTTTCCAAGCTCAGTGATGACTGCATGCTGAGMAAATCCGTGATTCCTCACGGAATGCAGCTTACACTGTTGTGCCCAGGCTGGCCGTGTGATGTACACAGGATTTGTTCCTGAAACCATTTGTTAACTTCAACTGCATTTTAGAGAGATGAATTGTTTCCCTCAAGTGCTATGAAATTATGCAGCTCCACAAAACAGAGATGCTACTGAAGAAGCATAGGGGTGACAAAGAGGTCACRTCTCACTAAACAGCAAACAGAGCACACAGAAGTGTTCTAAAAGCCCAACAAGAAGAAAAGCTTCAATTCTATCTTGTACCTTTTACGTAGCAGTAAATCAAACGTGAAGCTCAGACCTGTAGGAAAGCAGGCTTCATTAATTTGCTGCTGACAAAATGACTCATTTACATTCRTGTTCTGTTCTAATTTTATTACTCCCTAGCCTTTTATTATACTTC